CGAGAGCCACCAGGTCAGCATTCTCGCTACGTGCGTCGATGCTGTTGAGCCCTTCGCACAACCTGCGGCAGGGACCAGGCCTTAGCGCTGCGGGACGTGCATGCACAAGATGGTGCATGGTGTTGTGTACGCACCTGACGATGTCTTGCTGCAGTAGATTGCCGAAAAAGATCTCCATGCTCCGCATCGTGTAGCGCTTCTCTTGTTCAAACTGCTCCCGCAGTGCAGCCACCGCTTGATGGTAGGAGGTGATGCTGCAGATTGGAGCGATTGAGAAGTCGTGCATCACTGCCCATGCAAAGTCGTGCAGGAGAAGTACCAATTAACACAACTGCGCAGTTGTTTCGCCATGTGAGCCAGCAAGGTCGAAAGAGTCTCCTTGGATTCGAAAATTATAAGTAATTCTCGCATCTTGTCACCGTGCCGACACCACAAGTGCTCCTCATTCTCCAATTCGGCCAGGTAGCCTTTAAATCGTATCTCTTGCTCTGCCGTGATTGCCATCAGGCAGCGAGCATCACAAAAAATTTGCCTCTTATTTCTCTATTTTTCCGTGATTGTTTTCACTCTTCTTTTTTTTTGAGTTGAGTTTTTATTTTGAGGGCCGGAGGCGTACCGTTCGCACCACGTCTGTCCCACCCGTCCGTCTCACCACTGCCGTCACCTCACACATGCACACCGGCCTCACTCTAACCGCTCTCTCCATCTTGCACTCGCCACTCCCCTCCATCGTCAATCACTTAGCAGTTAGCACCGCTCCTCATCCGCCGCTCACCCACGCGAGGCGACCAGGCTTGCCCGTCGAGCGGCACAGCCTTGCCCAGCCGGGTCACGGGACCTATTGCAAGAACGTGAGAGATGAAAGCAGAGTAGACAAGAGAAGCAGCAAAACCAGGGCCACCAATGATGTGGTAGGCCATGCTTATTTGTTGTTCCCCACAATGAGGGCTTCTGGGGAGGCAAGTGGGACAAAGACAGACCCTGAGTGGCCAAGTCTCTGCCCCACCTCAACTGTCTATGAGTGAGCCACCCACTGGTCATGACCCCCCACTGCTGCATGTCATGGCAGCTCATGATGTAGGCGGGAATGCTCAAAAAAAGGCTGGTAATGCCCTGGACAGGTTCGAGGTGGAACAATAGTCATTGTCTGCCTTGGCACTACGTTGCGTTTGTTCACAGCCACTTTTCCCACTTGCCGGGAAGTAATCAAAATAGGGGAATAAAGATGACTTGCTCAAGAAATCTCTACTACTCTATCTTCTCGCTGCTCCTCGTCGGTCGCAGGGTCAGACAGTGTTTTTTTTATTTTGTTTTTTGTTTTTTGGCTAAGGATGTGACGGTCTCAACCGAACACACCCGCGATCACGTCTGAACACCCCCTTTTTTGGTGTTGACGTTGAACAAGCATCGCTGATTGAAAAGAGAAATTGCGGCTGTAACACAATAGACGCGTGTGAGCTTCAGTAGTGGGTGGGCGACTGGTACTTGCCCTCTGCTCGTCGTGTGGAGGTTGGTTAGTGGTCAAGACGAAGACAGACACACACGACGCCTGGGATGGAGCAGCGGTACCAGTAAAGATCTCGGCGGTGGCCGGGTCCTTGGCGAGATCCTGGGCGGTCCTGTGGAGCGCGTTGCGATGGGTGACATCCGCACCCAGGCTCAGGAGGAGCCGCACGGTGCTCACCTTGCCGGCACCAGAGGCCATCGTCAGCGGAGTGTCCTTGTCCTGTTTCCATCACTCACGCACGCAAACGCACATCAGTCCATCATAAGCGTGAACTCCTGGTTCATCTCCTTCACTTGATGATGCCGCACCTGGTCGAGTGCGTTGACGTCAGCACCCTTGCTCGCCAGGAACTGCACCACGTCGTCCTGTCCGAAGCGAGAGGCCAGGTCTGCGCGTGTCGTGTTTGCGCGGTGCGTGCTGTGAGCCGATTGGTCAAGCAACAGTGCGGGGCGCGCGTGGGAGACGTACGCAGGGGAGTGGAGCCCTCTGTCGTGGCGAGGTCGACCTGGGCGCCCTGCTCGAGCAGGAACTCGACCACATGGCGGTGACCCCCTTCGCCCCGTGGCCGCGCGCAGTGAGAAGGGGACGAACGGACCTAAAAAGGAGTGAAGGCGGCGTACAGCGAGCGGCCTCGTGGAGGGCGGTCTTGCCCTGGGCGTCCTGTGCGTTAATCTTGGTCAAGGAAGACTTCATCCTCTGCTTGCACATCTCCAGGTCGCCGTCCGCTATCGCCCCCCCCCACGCCAAAAAAGTAAGGCACTACTGCATACGAGGTGGCGAAGGAGAGCGAAGTGGTTACCAGCGGCATCCCACAACGTCGCCTTGCCCCACTGCGATCCTTGGCCGAACATC